TGCCGGCCGTGCCGGCCCCCACCCCTCCCACCGCGTGCGTGGTGGAGCCCGTGGCCGCCCCCATCGCTGACGACGCGGTCGCCGCCTCGGGCCGCGGGCGTACCGAGGGCGCCCTGCCCACGCCGGAGGCCCCACCGGCCGCCACCAACGGCGGCGACGACTGCCCGGTGGCGGTGGCGTCCCGCAGCGATGGCGCCGACGTGACGGATGCCAGCAGCGGCCCCTGCGGCGCCGAGGGCCGCGCCGCGTGGCAGCCGACCAGCTTCATGGGCAAGGCCGCGTACTCGGGCGGCATTGTGCTGACCACGGGCGTGGTGATCGGCGCCCTGGCGGGAGTCGTCCTGGGCGGCGCTGCGGGTGTCGTTGCCGTGGGCGGCTGCCGCGCCACCGCCGGCTGGGTGCGCGCGGCGTGGCTGCGCGCGGAGTCGGGGTTTTACGGCCCCAAGTACAGGGAGATGCAGGCCGTCCTGCGGGAGGCAGAGGAGATGGACAGGCAGGAGCGCCAGCTGCTGCACGGCTGCATGTAATAATGCTGTGGGGTGGCTGTGGGGTTAGCTTGCTTGCCCATCTTGAGTTGTTCATTTGTTGGCCCCAAGCGTCTCGCATCGGTTCCAGAGCCACGCGGCCCCGACACCGCCGCTGCCTTGTGGGGTGCACATGTGCACTACTGCCTCTGGCCTCGGAAGGCGGGAATGGGGGGGTGCAGGGACATCGGCCAGTGCGAGAGGCCGTTTTTTTTGGGGGGGAGGGGGCACCACAGGCTCTGGGCAGGTGGCTTTTTCACTTTACCGTGTGTTTCTGCGGCAGCGCAGGCCGTTCCTCTGGCGCGGCTGGCTAGATGCTGCCTTCCGTGCCGCCACATGCGCGTTGCGACGGGCGAGGACCACCTGCACGGTTTCCTGCTGCCACACCGTTGCACGTGTGGCCTAGATGGTGCCGAGAAGGCGTCGCCCAGCGAGCGCACGCATGCTTCCTTGGGTCATGCATGTGCCGTCGTGGCGGCCAGCACTTGGAGTTTGGGTGTGCTGCATTGCTGGGACCGTGGTGGGCTTGAGGCACGCAGGAGCATTGCTGCTGGCCTCCTTGGCCCTCGTCTTGCCTGCCCTCTTGTTTCCTCCGAGCGTCTTGGTTGGGTTGCGGCGTGCACTTCCTTGCCTGCTGCTGCTGCCCCTTGATGCATTCTCTTTCTGTTGCTGGTGCTCCCCTTGCCCACCTACACACGGGAGTCCCCTTTGTGAGTATCTGAACCTGACGGGCCCTTTCCAAGCAGAGGGGGAGGCCCAGAGGTAGCGCCGGCGGCGGGGCGCGTGAAGCCCGGCAGGGGGGTCGCAAATAGGATGTTTCGGGCGTTTGACTGCATCGCGCAGGGCCTGAAAGGGCGTCGGCGGCCTGGGATGCGCACTTCAGGCATGCGCCTGAGCGGCCGGTGCTGTCACCAAAACTGCTGTGCCGGCGACCGGGGCGGGTGGCAACGCCGGGGGAACAGCAGGTTGTGTGGGCGAATGGTGAAGAAGTTGACTTTCCACACAGCAGGACGCACGCCTGGCGCAGGAGCTGGGTGGTGCAAGTTGCTGTCTTGTCAACGTGTGTGTCGCGTCAACGATGTCTTGAGCCAGACGTGTTTACATCAGAAGGGCAGGGTGGATGTGGCCGCCAGCATAAGAGCGGTGGCCGTGGCCTTGAGCAGGATGGGTGGAACACAGACAGGAAGAAGGGTTCACTAACGCTTGCAGGCTATAACTAAAGGGCAATAATGCTGATACGGAGGAGTGGGGTATTTTTTGGAAAAATTTGCCACCACAGCAGTGGGGGCGCAGCCTGCTGTTCCGGATCCAAGTGACGGGGTCCTCCTGCACAAACCAGCTCAACCCCGAGCAGCCGCTGCTTTGCAGAAGTGGGCGGCTGACTCGTAGCAGCGGCAGTCAGGGCAGCATTGCGCCGCCCGCGCCGCAGAGCCCCAGCGCCAATGCAGCCTCCTCCTGGGCCTGCAGGGGATGCAAGATGGCAAGGCAGCGTGTGATGGCTACGCAGCGAGCCAAAGGGCTATACTAACAATCATTGATGTTGGGGTTCAACAAACGCAGGCGACAAAGCCGACCAGAGAGGCGGACACAGCCACGGGGTAAGCCTTGCCACCACCTGGCTGTGGGCGGCACATAGGCTTTGAGGGAGGGTGTGTCGTGCAGGGCCCCTTGAACCCCCAGTCCAACGCAGGCACGCACCTTCTCCTTGTCTTTGGTCAGCAGGGCCCGCAGCTTCCGCTCCAGCTCCAGCTGAGAAAAGCGGGCGAAGGTGGGGCCCAGTAACACACATGCAGCGGCCACCCGGTCCTCCGTCAGAGCGAGCTTGCTGCAGTGCAAGGCGCCCCTTGAACGAGCTGCAGCACGCTGGTGGCAACCCCCGATCCCATCGTCCGCATCCGCCGCTGGCTGGCGGCAGCGCTGCACAGCATCCGCCAGGGACGAGCAGTTTCCAGGGGTCTGCATGCATCAGGTGCCCCCACGCGGGCGGTGCCCACCTCCTCCTTGAGGACTATGACTGTCTGCTCCTTCTCCAGCAGCTCGGCCTCCTTCTGCAGCAGGATGATCTCCTTGGTCGCCAGCTCAGAGCGGATCTGGAGTGCGTGCGGGTGTGGCGTTCGCCAGTTCGCGCGTGTCTGATGCTGCTACCATGGGTGCGCGGAGTGCGCCTGGAGTGCGCGGCTGCATGGTGGTTGCGGGGTGGCAAAACTGCCCACACATACATTCTGGGGAGGGGTCGAAGCCCAAGGCAGGCGTCCATGCAAGCTTGCTGCGGACGGGCTGGGCTGCAGCCGTCTTGAATCGTGGAAAGTCAACTCTGCCGGTGCTTGCGCATCGCCCCCAGCTCTGGGCCACCATGCCAGTCGCAGGGGCTGCGAATCCCGCATGCCTCATCCAACCCAACCCAGCTAGCACCCAGGCCCCCGTCAGCAAATCGGGTTCGTCCTGTAAGGGCGTCCCCCATTGCTGCCGCACCTCTTGCAGCTCCTGGAGGCGCCCCCTGCGCTTGAGCTTGTTGGCCCGCCGCCGCTCGTCCTCCTCATCCAGCAGCCTCTTTGCGTCCTGCTCCGTCAGCGCAAACGGGTTGGGCTGCGCGGACTGCTGCTCCGGGGCGTCCGCAGCGCTGGTCTGCGTGGACGCGTTGACGCTGCCGGCCCCGCCCCCGGGGGCTTCAGAAGGTGTCGGCGTCGACGCGCCGGGCTCCGCCGCGCCGCTGTCGCTGGCCGGCGAGGCGTAATCGGCGCCGCCGTCGGGAGTGTCAGAGCCTGCCCCTCGCGAAGCGGCGCCGCTCGAATCCGAAGGCGCGTCCGGCTGGGGTTGGCGACCGCTGTCGTCACTTGCGGCAGCAAGCGGCGCCTCCGATGCGGTGCTGTCTGGGGCCCCAGCACCGGCCGCCTGCGCGTCCCCTCTGCTGCTCGCCTCCGCTGCTGCCTCCGCTGCCGACGTCTGCTCCAGTGCTGGGTCTGCGTACGAGGGCCCCACGCCTGCCAAGAAAATGCCTGTGCAGCAAGAGACGTGCGGAAGGGGTTCTTCACGGCCGCTTCACCGAGAGCACCTACATCAGGGGATGCATCCTTGCCAGGGTCAGTGGGGGCTCTACCAGCGGCCCTTGCACACCCACCGGTGACGAGGCTCAGCACCGTCTGGCGTCTAGACGGCCCTGGCGCATCTTCCCTCACAGCTGCCGCTCCGACTGGCTGCCTGGGAGGCTTTGCACGCATCAATGCAACCCGCGTGGATGGCTGTCTGCATGCGCGGGTTGCTGCATTGTGACCCCGAGTTGAGAGGCTGCAAAAAGACGGCACGGATTGCATGAGATCGTCCACAGGCAGCAGCGGGGAGAAGACCCTAGATCAGCAAGACCCTCGAGACGAATGCGAGCGGATCGCATGAGCTACGAATCAAATTTCTCAAACATAGTGGTCAAATTATATCACAATTGAAAGCACTGAGGAGCGACGTACCTCGCCATGCAGGGAGTCTGCGTCACCACGGTGTGTCAAGTGTGGTGTGGTCAATCCGGCCTCCTCCAAGCTGCTGATCCGGTATTCGCCATAGTGCATCGCAATGTACCAAGTGACATGATGTCGCTGCGTTGAGGGCCGAGTTGCCTGAAGAGCCCGTTGCGAGGGTTTGCTGGTCACCCGGTTTGCGTGATGCTGTAGCCTGATGGGCCGCTAGGATGGAGACGTCGCCAGCTCTTCAAGGTAATCGTGGATTCTCAGCCGGTATGATCGCAGCAGCCGTTAATACATCCTCCTGTAGGCGGGCAATTCACCTCCTGATTTGATGCTTGTTGCGTCCACCCTTCCATCTCCAAGCACACTGCCACAGTGCGTCTAATTGTTGTGCGTTAGCTCGCTCTGTATTACTCCTGGCCCAGCTGGCAGAACAATATGCGCATCCAACAGGGCGGCATGCGACACAGTGCAGTGTCCATTGTGGGCATCATGGGTTGGCCAGCATTATCGTGTCCCGTTTGCAACAGACCGCACATCCAGTGCGGTTCAGCTGTACAGCAGATACCGTAGCTGAACGCGGAGCCAAAATCAAGTTGTGAAGTACCTGGTGGGGCGGGCACGCTCCAGAGCATTGCTTTGAAGTCGTTGCAGTCCTCCTATGTTCACGCACCCAGGAAAGAAGCCGCCCTGTAGCTAGTGCACCCTCTGTTCGTAGCGGGGCTCGAGCTGCACTTAGAGAACTGCAGTGCAGTGTCCACGCAGTCACTCACTCGTTGCAACACGCTCGCGAGGCGGCTTCACGTTTGCCGCCACGAGATCTCTGGCACAAGGTTGCGCTTCAGCGCAGTTGTGCTGCAGAAACAACGTGAGAACTAAACGAAGTTTCCCTAGTTCCTGCGCAGCGGCGTCGTGTTGCGACCCAGCTTGACGAGTGCAGATCAGCCCAGATGAGCAGCAGCAACGGGGGTCCGCCCAAGTGAGTACAACCCATCACGGGAACATGGGCGCCGGCCAACTGACCTGTCACTCAGTCGCAAACCAGCTACTTATGGCGGCGGTCCCGAAAGACTGTCTTCGCGACGCGCGCCCACAACCCAGTGCCTGCGCTCTGCCCTGGGATGCAAAACTGCTCCATGCAGGGCGGCGCACGCCAACGACGTGTTCCTGGCGCGCAACGGATTCATACGGCCCAACAAGAAGCTGTGGCGGAAGAGCACCGAGAACCGCCTGCGGCCAGCGTGCAGCCGCTGCAACTTCCGCGGCCACAGCGTAGACGAATGCAAGGCGCGTGACGGGTGGCCGCCCGCATGCGCATGCGCCGCATGCATGGCTCGTGTCACGCTCGCCACCTAGGGCCGCGCATGCGCCGGCCGCTGCCGGCGGCCGGCGCATGCTCATGCACCCCATCCCGGTGGACTGCACTTGAGGAGGCCGTCCTCTCGCGCCCGTTCCCGCCCCCAGGTGCCGTATTGCACCAAATGCAACCGCCACGGCCACCCGCCCAAGTGCTGCAGCGGCGCGTGCGCCAACTGCAACGTCGGCACCAGTGCGGCCCTGGAAGGGGAGGACGACCACTCGGCGGAGGAGTGCCCGTTTCCCAAGTGCGCCAACTGCGCAGCCACAGGCCACTACACTGACGAGGTGCGGGGCCCAGCAGCTGGAGCGCGCCCCGCCCTGCCTGGCCGCAACTCGCCGCGACTTTCTGTGCTACGCGTTTGTCCCCAGTACACAAGTCGTCGTTGCAGGGGCTGCTCTGACATGGCAGGCTTATTGCTACGCCGCACCCGTTGCTCCAGCGCTTTCGACTTCGACAGCTCCCGCTCACGTAACCGCACCCAACCGCCCGCCGCACTCCCGGCCGCAGTGCCCCCACGAGACCCGCCGCCCGCGCCCCGCGGCCGCCG